TCAAATCATGAGTACACATGGTAAAGAAAACCTTACTTATTCATGATATTCTGTACTTTTGCCGTCGATCTCTTAAAAGCCGAGTGAGCTTTGAGGGGACCGAGCTCAGCAGGCAAGGCCCTGAGCACAGGTAAGCATCTTTGCTGAGAAATTATTTGTCCCCGTGGCGACATCAGGGGACACAGGCCAGCTCTCAGGGATCCCTGAGGAGCAGAAAGTTACCAAAGAGGGGGCTTTGGGACCCTCTCAACCCCTGATGGGTCTGGATCCCAAGGTGGGGTGGGGCTGCCTGTTAGAGGGGGCCGGGGAAGTGACCACGTGTCTCCCCTGGGACACAGGTAGGGGAGACGGCCCGTCCCCTCCCCCCAGGAGGACAGGGAGCAGCCCAAGCCCCCAGCCCCAGTGCGGGGACACTCCTGGGAAAGGGCGGAGCTGGACCCTGGACCTGCTTATGCCCGTATTGGAGGCAGAAAGAAGACTGTTTCTCCTTGAAACACTTCTGACAGCAAGGGTGTAGGGCTTCCGCACACAACCGTCGTGACAACCGCCTGGAGTAAGCGCAGACCCCGGTTCCAGGCTCATCCCTCAGACCCCGCACCTCCAGACAGGCTTCTGTCCAACTCGGCTAAAACTCACGGCTTCCCAAGACGCCTCCTTGAGCATCCATCATCTGACGTCTCACTCAGCTTCCATCATCTGAGTTAACGCTTGGTTCACAGAACCCAGGGACTCCCTTCACTTACTACTCCCCGTGTGCTACAAAGGACACAGTAAAGGACACGGACGGACGAGTGGCCGGAAGGGCGAGGCCTGGGCGGGTCCTGAGAGCAGGAGGCCCTGACCCTGTGCAGCTGGGGTGCGTCCCCCTCCAGCACATTTATTAACCCAGAACCTCTCCAGGTCCCTTCATTCAGGGTTTTTAATAGAGGTTTCGGTACCCAGGGATGACGGATCAACTCTGGGCCACCGGTGCGAGCTCGGTCCCGGCTCCTTCCCCCTCCCTGGGGGCAGGGGTGGAGGAGCCAGGTGAGCGCACCAGCCCCCGATCCCGTGGTTGGGTCCTCGGACCACAAGCCTCGTCCACCCAGAATCGCCTGAAGGCAAGAGCTCAGCTGTGGACGCTCAGGAAATTCCGGGGCTTCTAGGAGCTCCGGGCCAGGACCCAGGACCCGGGTCAGACACACAGCTGTGGTTGTATCACAACATCACAGAGGCCCGGGAAAGAGCTCAGAGGGCCTGGCCTGACACCGAGTGAGTAGCAGGGTGTCTGTGTGAGCACACGGTCCACTGCTCCCAGCAGAGACCCCAGGCATCCCAGCGGGACCATGCCAGCTAGTGTGGGTGGGCAGCCACCCCCGGGGGGCTAGGCTAGGGATGCTAGCCTGGCCCCGCGTCACCCTCAGACAACGGCTAGGCTTGGAGTCACAGCAGCGTTCCATCCGGGAAGGACACCGGTGGCCCCGGGCTGGGCAGCCGTTTCCTCCTGAGTCCCTCAGTGGTAGGTCCTCTGGGGCAGACACACACCCCTCTGGGTCTGAAGAATCGCCCCAGAGCTACAGGAAAGGGCGAGCTGCTGCTAGTTGCCTTCATGAGTCCTCACACGGTGCTATACTAGGCGCTTTGTCTTTACCTCAGTCGGTATCTTTGTGCTAAAATTAGGGGACAAAACCCTGCACCTTATGTTGGTTCCTTGCATTCAAGTTGCGGGAGTAGTTTTCCCCAGGGCTCCTGTGGATGGTCTAGGGTCCCTGTGAGTGTAGCCTAGGTTCTTGATATCAGCAGATGTCATACACCATCCTCATCCAAAGGAGAACGTTTGCATCGCATTTGACACGTCCACAAATTAGCTCGTTAACCAAAGGATAAACAAGGTCCAAGTTTATTCTTCAATATGATACATACATATGACTGTTACACATCTTTATAAGGAAAAGGAGTACAGCTGAATGAAACTATGCCAGAAATAGAAAATACACACGATATATGTAGTCACTGCTTTGGAGCTCCGTGTTTATTTCTTGTCTGCACTGAGAAACTTTGTCCAGAGGGCTCACCGGCATCTATCCGTCGGGATAACTACAGAACGTGCAAGCAGGACTCTTCCGCCCCTTCAAGTGGGCAGCAGCAAGGGAGTGAGAAGCCTTCATGGAAGGTGAAGCTGCCCACAGGAAGACCGCCAGGGACGACGCACCTGCCTGGATCGGAGCTGGGAGGAGAGATGCACTGACCCTCTAAGCTGAGAAGCTGTGAGTTTCACCCAAGGCCCGGAAGTTGTCCTAGCCCAGGAAGTCCCGCCCACTCAGTGCAGCGTCTCAGTCCTTTAGGACAGAAAGCAGCTCACATTTTGCAAACGTAATTTTCATCTCAGAGAGGCTCTAGGGGAACATGGTGATAGATAAGAAGCTGGACTTTGATTCTAACTTAAGAAAAAGAGAAAGAGGCAAAATATTTTAAAAGATGGAGCAAAAGCAAAGGAGGGCATCGTGGCCAATCTGAGAAGGGTACAGAAGAACGGCCTGAACCCAGGACGGAATCTCCAGCGGAGAGAGCTGAGCTCAATCCCGCCCTACCCCTAGTTACGAGCTCACAGATCAGTTTCCAAAGGAGGCCCCTCAGCTGGCCTAGAGTCCAGACTGAACAGGCGCAAGTGTAATATTGGCCCTCCCACAACCCAGAGGCTGGAGTCGGGGTCGTGGGAACAGAAGGACAGAAAAGGAATTAAAGGAGAGCCTTGCTCATTTCCCTCGTAGAAAATCCATATTTGGTTCTAAAACAAGGACAAAATGCTGCTGTACTAATTTCCATAAAGATGGTGAAAACGTTGGTTCTCACAGATCTGAGACTACATCACATCAGAGTCTGCCTCGCGAGACAAATCATCACGCCTATTTGCATCTTTGAGGAAAGAAAGCAAAAAAATGTCAAGTCAGACCGAAAGTGACTCCAGGCAACTCTACAGTGCCTAAAGACAGGAGTCAGCAACCTCAACCCGGACATGGTTTCCACGGTTAATCCAGGTGGGAGGCCATGCTGGGGGCTTTTATGTCATGAACAAGGTGACCCTTTTCTCCCTGGTTTTTAAGCAGCAGCAGATTCCGGGTCCCTGTCAGTTCCTTTCCCCTTGACAGTTTCTTTCTCCCCAGGCCGTAGGACAGGCCCCACCCCGCTGGCATTTAATTTCCTCCATTTGCTGGAGGAAGAGTGATGGCCTAAAGGAGCGAGCAAGGCCACCACATCCCCCGAGAGGATGCAGAAGCCCACACAGCCCCTGGGTCCTGGTGACTTCTGGGGGAAAGGGATCACAAGGACCCCGGTCCCGCCAGACTCCGTTCTGGGTTCACACTCGCCTGTGGTTTGATTCCTCTGATGCACGACGCCCGTTTCCCGTCAGAATCGCCACATCCCGCAGCGGCACAAGGGTGTGGACAGAGGGTACCGCTGAGCAAGAGACAGGAACCCCCTCATCTCGTGTAACTGGAGGGCAATCCTCGGCGCTTCAGCACCCTGTTCTTAGCGCCCGCAGAAAGCACCCCCTGCAGATCCAGCCCCAGCACTCCCCAGCCAAGTGTGCAAATCTAACTACACAGTCTGAGGAGAGCCGCTTTCAAAGCAGAGTCTCCTTTCTAAACCCCAAAACCCACGCCCGCTGACTGCGGGGTCGTCAGTGGGTGAATCTGGCAAGCAAGCCCTCGCTCACTTGGCCGGAGCTGGGTCCTCCGCGTGCAGTGGGACCGGGGAAGGCGGCCAGGACCCTCACGTCCAGCAGAAGGTCCTCCGCGCAGGCCGGAGGAGAACCCACACTCAGGCCAGAACACGCCCTCCATGAGGGGCTTTCGATCAGACCCCTGTGTCCTGTTCAGCAGTTGAGCAGATGCCAGCTCTCTGTGGACTGAGTATTAAACCTGGACCACCTCCTGTTTTTCCAGACCCGATGAACACCAGGAGCTAAAGATAGTGAGGTAACATAACACTTCAGCCACAGGGCCTTGTGTGCGTGTGTGTGTTTTAAGGAAACTAAATTAAACACGAAGCAGAATCACAGAACAGGAAAAGGAGAAGCCAGCCTTGGATGAATGCGCGGGCCCAAAGGAGAAGGAGACGCATCTTATTGCACCACCGGTGAGCTGGCGAGAGGCCTGAACTAATTACCCCTGTCTTCTGTCTCCGCCTCCCCCGCCCCTGAAGCACGTGGGCAGGCAAGGAGGACTCTCCGGCGGGATCAGAGAGGATGGGGAACTGTCAGTGCCTGTCAGAACCCCCTTGCCTGGGCGGGCCCCAGGGCTGTTCTTAGTTCCTTTCATCACTATCGAGGCAGCTGGAGCCTAGAGCAACTTAAGCTAAAAATAAAGATATTATTATAGCTGATCTCAACACAACAGGTATTTGGAAGTGGAAAACGTGAGAGAGGCTTAAGAAGTAAGTGATGGGCGTGGCATCCACCGTCTCAGCTTCCTGGAGAAACAACCCCCATTTCTGCAGCAGGGCTCAGGTCCCCTGTTACATGTGAAGAAACGGCACATGAGCTCGGGAGCGGAAGAACCTCCAGCTGGAAATCAGGGTCATGTCCGAGCGGGGGTGCCCTGCACAGGGCTGAGCCAAAGAGTCGACATGTGGTGTGGCCACTGGTCCTCTTTACCCAGGTCGCTCGACAGAAAGCCCAGCACTGGCCCCTAAGGACTCACCAGGGCCATCCCTTCTCGTTCCGGCCGCGTCGAGGGAAGCTCTCGGGACAGTTAGCGTTACTCAAGGCCGTGAATGGGCAGACTAACCGTGCACCGCCCCTCGAAGCCCGTGATTCATGTGGATGACGGTTCCCTCGGAAGAGAGCAAGGTGCACGGTGACAACCCACGTCCCTCAGCTGAAAGTAGACCAGCTGCTTGGAAGACTGCTGCTCTTGGAGGAGGTCTCAAAACACATGGCAGACAGGCCACCTGATGCCTGTTGCTCAGAATTCAAAGAAAGCTTATGTTCCAGAAAGCAAATTACTCATCAGTTGGATTCACCGGATTTCAGTCCAAATCAAAACAATAAAGTCTGAGAGACTAACCAGCCAAGGGTTCACCGGACTTAGAACTTTTTCTGGCAACATACTCACCCCTTTGAAAGGCAATTCTCCCTCTAAATGTATCCAACTTTTTTTTTTTAACATATATCCACATTCTTTCTCATATTCTTTTCCATTATAATGAGCTGACTCATTGGAAAAGACCCTGTTGCAGGGAAAGGTTGAGGGCAAGAGGAGAAGGGAGCAAAGTGACAGAGGATAAGATGGCTGGATGGCATCATCAACTCGATGGAAGTGAGTCTGAGCAAACTCTGGGAGATACTGAAGGACAGGGAGACCTGGCGTGCTGCAGTCCATGGGGTCGCAAAGAGCCGGACAGGACTGAGCGACTAAACAATTCATTCTTTTTCATGTTCTTTTCCATTTTAGTCTGAAATGGCAGCCCACTCCAGTATTCTTACCTGGAGAATCTCATGGACAGAGGAGCCTGGCGTGCTGCAGTCCATGGGGTCGCAAAGAGCCGGACAGGACTGAGCGACCAAGCGGGAGCGCGCACAGTGGTCTGTCCCAGGGCGCTGAAGGCAGTTCCCTCTGCTGTGCAGTAGGACCTTGCTGTTTACCCGCCCTATAGATAATAGTTGGCTGTTGCCTCCGACACCTTTTAAACCCTCAGCTCAGCCTCCAGTGTGACCGCTCTGGTGGTCTGAGACGTAGCAGAGATGAGACAACGGAGACCCAGCAACGAAGACAGAAAGCTTTAAGCTCAGGATGGCGGGGAACTTTTTGGGTGTGCCCGGTCACAGGGTGTGAGGAGGGGGTGCAGGCTTGCCTGCCTCCAGGGCTTCAGCTCTCAGCGCCCCCCGCCCCCAAGCCTGGCAGAGCTGCTCAGAGTTCAGAGTGACGCACCCCCCACCCCCGCCCCGGCCCAGAGCCACCAGTCTCCATAGGGGTCAAGGCATCAGAATTGCTGATTTTTCCAAAAATCTTCTCAAGGCAGCAGCAACCGCAGCAGTTTTCCTGCAAAGCAAACAAAATATGACTCTTGTTAATTCAGCAAGGCTTTTAAAATTGTAATTAGTTGGTTGCACCCTTTAGGAAAACCACAGATGACTTTTTATAACGTATATGTGTCTGTGAGAAAAAAAAGGAACCCCTTGAAGGATCCCACTGCTTACCAGAGCTGGGTGGGTTGTGTGTGTGTGTGTGTGTGTGTGTGTGTGTGTGTGTTTCAGTCTATGCAAGATATTTTGGTACTGTGTGCAGGATCGAAGGACAAGGCCTCTTTGTTTCACCTGAAGCGCAGCCAGCTCTGAGCCGCTGCCACCCCTGCGTCCCGCCAGCTCCACCGGCATCAAAGTGCTGCCGGGGACGCGCGTGGGACTCTCTCCATCTGCTCTTGGCTGTGTGTGACACACGTCCTCCCTGTAGACCCAAGGGCTTGGCCCTGCTGCGCGTCTCCCGGGCTAGCCGTGGAGCAGTGGGAAGGAGAAATGAAATGCCACCTGGTTTGTTTTTAGAGCGCTTCCTCAACCCATCAAAAAACCTCTGACAAATTGCAGGAGATTTCTGTCCTCAATTTGCGTTGCGGGTTATGCCTTATTCATGAGGCTCTTTTTCCACAGGAATCATCTCCAACCACCAGATTTTAAAAATCAATATTATCTCAAAATTGGTTTTACTCATGTTGTTTCTTGCCAAAGTTCCCAGCCCCTCCTGGCAGGAGAGATTATGAAGCATGATCTACTGCTTTTAGCACAGCATCCTTCTCAAGGGGGGCTGCCCCCAGCGTTAATTTCTTAAGCTTACATTTTAGTTTGAGACAGAAAAAAAAAGTGAGAAAGGAAACCAGGAAGCACCAGCATTGCATGGACATGTGGTGGGACCGGGGTGGGTTTCTGTGGCCCCTGGAGGGGTGGGGGGGGGACCCAAGAAGGGAAGGTGGCCAGCCTGAGTGGCCGGCACGGAGTGGACCAGGCCAGGTTTGGAGTGGTCTCGCTGAGCATCTGCAACAAAGATGCTGCGTTGCCAGGGCAACCGGCTCAAAGCACTTTGTCCTTTGGGAAGGTCATGTATACACTGCTACATTTAAAATAGATAACCAACAAGGACTTACGACACAGTACTTGGAACTCTGCTCAGCTATGTGCCAGCCTGGATGGGAGGGGAGTTTGGAGAGGATGGATACATGTACACCTACACATATGGCTGAGTCCCTTGACTATTCACCTGAAACCACCACAGCATTTTTAACTCACTGAACTCCAATACAAAATAAAAAGTTTAAAGTTTGGGGGAAAAAAAGAAAAACACAGCCTTTTGTCCTTGTCCTGCTGGCTGCCACCCCCTTCCGTCGCCTTGGGTTCAAGAGCAAACCTCCTGGGAAGGACTCGGCCGTCGCCCACTGCCTTTTCGCCTCATCCTTCCCACCAGCCCCTGGCGCCAGGCCTCCTTCCTGGGCACCTCCTGGCACCCAGTGACCTCGCTCCCACCAGCCCCCAGAGCCCGCCCAGGGCTTATGGTGGGAAGGTGGTTTGCGGCAGACCCTCGGGCTTGTGGTCGCTGGGGACTGAGCGGCCTCTGGGCGGGGCTGGGGGAGAGAAAGACCGCCGGGGCGTGCTGCCTGCAGACCTCGGGGTCACGGCTCCCAGCGAGGCCGGGATGCCCCGCACTCAGGGGGTGCAGACGGCCCTCCTTCTCCACCGTGTCACCAGATGTGAGGCTACCCCCTGCAGTTCCCAATGCCAACTCCCCGCTAGTCTGGTCAAACAAGAACGGTCTTTGTATGTCGAAAGCAAAAGCTTTCCCGTTGACGTCACATCAGTCTCTAAGCAAGCGATAGGGTGCCCAGTAAGGGACCCTCGTGCCAAAGCTGGGGTGTTCGCTGACCCTGATTCGTGACTTGTATGATGATTTGCTAATTTATTTCTACCCCGTCTTACTCCTCAACAGACTCAAGGCAGCTTACAAGAGCACATACAGTCAACAGACCAACAAAGCCTTGGGGCCAGAGTAGATACAAGTCAGAGGGAGAGTGCAGACGGGCCGGCTGCAGAATGCCGGCCGCAGAATGCCGGCCGCAGAATGCCGGCCGCAGAATGCCGGCTGCAGAATGCCGGCCGCAGAATGCCGCCTCACGAGGCTCGAGTCCATCAGGGCTGCTGAAGGCGAGCTGCCCGGCTGGCCGTGGACTCGCAGCCCAGGCGACGGGGCGGCCCCCGGGCGTCCCCCGCACCACACGGGGTGCTCGGGCTTCTCGAAGTCCTCCGGGATGCTGCACTGCCCTCAGCCTCTCCTTTGGGACACGCGTGTGCGTGCGTGTGTGTGTGTGTGCGCGCGCGCGCACGCTCGGATTCTCAGCTGTAACTGATTCTCTGCGATCCTATGCGCTGTAGCCCACCAGGCTCCTCGGTCGATGGGAGTCTCCAGACAAAGATACTGCAGTGGGTTGCCCTGCCCTCCTCCAGGGGGTCTTCCCGAGCCAGGGATCGAACCCATGTCTCTTATGCCTCCTGCACTGGCAGACGGGTTCTTTACCACCTGGGAAGCCCCCTTTAAGCCACAAATTGGACCATTTATTGATGTAACAGCACCTGCTCATGTGTAACACTCCTTCTCTGAATAATTCTGACATAATTCTAAGCAAGCAGAGGCTTTGTATGAAGAGGCAGCTCCTTGGGGTCCAAGAAGGGGTCTGGGCCTGGCAACAGCTCGGGAGGAGAAGAGAGAGCAGAGGCCCCGAGAGGGTCAGGCCCCACCGTGCCCCGGGCTGGGCCCCGGGCAGGCAGGGCCTCAGGCTCCCCGACTCTGCAGACACGCTCCCTCCCCTGTTACCTCAGCCACGTACAACGTGGCAAGGACTCCTGGGAGCCCTCCTGAGGACCTACTGTGCGCCGAGCCCCGGTCTCCGGCTTTGCTTGGATGGTCTCAGTGGAGCCGCTCAACAAGGATGGCTAACGAGACTGTCCCCAGTCCACACATCACAAGACAGAGGGCTCTCTGCTAGGAAACAGCAGAGCAGACCCAAACACAGCCGTCCGGCCTCGGGGCCTCCCCCGGAGGAAATGCACCCCGCTGTGCGCGGTGAGACAGCCAGGCTCTCCCCGCCCTCTCTAGGCTCAGAGGCCCCTTCAGACCAACCTTTCAGGAGGGCGCTTTCCGGACACTATTTGGTCACCAGGTCCTGGGCATCAGAGCAGCAATTCTTCCTCTTCTAGGAAAACCAGGAAGACATTTTGAGAAGGGTCAGAACTGACGCGGTCCAATGATACCTAAAGAGCTGGGGTTCCTGCAGAAACGTCCCTGGACCCTGACGGCTCACGGCCGCAGAATCCGGCTTGAGGGCGTCCCCCTCCCCAGCCCCTCAGCGGACCTGTCATCACCGCTCTTTCCCTCGGAGTCACGGGCAGAGAGACTCGCACGCCATGACCCTTGTTAATTCAGCGAGGCTTTTAAAATTGTAATCAGTTGGTTGTGCCCCTTAGAGAAACCACAGATGACTTTATAATGTAGGTGTGTCTGTGAGAAAAAAAGGAACCCCTTGAAGGATCCCAGTGCTTACCAGAGCTGGGGGTTGTGTGTGTGTGTCTGTGTGTGTCTGTGTTGTGTGTGTTGGCAGTGAGGAGGCCGTCCTGGAGAAAGGGCATTGGGAGTGGACCTTGGACACTGCCCAGGACTTGGGCTGACCTGGGCGCAGGGCTGGGGCCCCAGCACTGGCACCCCTGCCTAGACGAGGCCATGGGGGTTCAGGGTGCAAGAAGGGGAAGGCCGGGAGTGTCTCTCATCAGGGGATAATATGGTCAGAGCTGTAATTAAGGAAGGGATGATTTGGTGACAGGGAAGAGAGCGGGTGCACGTAGACCCTGAGCACGTCCATTGTCTTATCAGCTCAGTAAATGGGAAGCAGAGGATGAGGCCGGCACCCAGGAGACAGGGAGGAGAGGTGGATGGTCATGAGCTGCGGGAGGAGACAATCGGTCCCACCTGCTCGGCTTCCCCGCCCCCAGCCCCAAAGCGGGGACTGTGTCTGCACAGCTGCTGGCCAGGGGCTCACGGGTTTGCCCTCCGGGAGGCTCTGCCACAGCCCAGGCTCTGTCTGACGCAATGGGTCCCGTGCGGGTGGTGGGCTCGGCCCCGTGAGCCCGGCTCAGGAGGTAGAGACCGCGGGCCTCAGTGTCCAAGAAGGAGAATCCTTCTAAGTTTACGGATCACGGACATGCTTGGTGGCTGGGAAACAGGAAGTGCTTTTAAGCACGAAACAATGAAAAGAGACAAATAAAAGTTTATTACGAAAACTTTGAAATATCAAAATTTTTAAATAGTTTGGGTAAGAGTTGAATTTTCAACATGAAGTTGAATCCTGGTTCTACAGGACATAGAAACAGGATTCTCACAGAAGTGAATCGCCTAGAAAAAATTATTCTCAATATTTCACCGAAAAATAAAATATATTAAGCTTGAGTGTTGTCTTTCAGTAACATGAAAGATGTCACACAAGGGTGGCCCTGGAAATGGCACAGGCCCCTTGGCCCAGCAGCCCGCCTCCAGCGGGACGGCAGAGTGGGGACCCTCGCCCGACTCCAGGGCCTGCTGCTTGTGGTGGGATCCTGGGTGGGTCTATAGCCCTGTCCTCAGCGGCCCATTCACATAAAGGGCATGATGGCATGTCTGTTTCAGAGCATCGGCCTGAGGACCAAGTGAGTTCATTCTGAGGCCGTCAGAACAGCGCTTGGCACAGCACTGTGCAATTTTAACTTTCATGGTAACTAACTGCATTTGTACAATGGAATATTTTTTTGTTTAATCCTCACCACCCCTGAAATATCTATTCACCTTAGGTACCAGCAGTTGGATAAAATAACAAAAAGGTGATTTTTGTTGTTATATGGTTTAAAAAATATTTTTAAACACTTTTACACCATATAATGTCATTAATTATCTGTTGTGGTTTCCATATTGTCCACCACGTCAAAGTGTATTTGGACACCAATAAGCTTGGATAAAAATACATGGGTGGAAAATTGGCCCAGAATAGGTTGGTAACCCTAATAAGCAGTTTATGCCGTCTGGGTGAGGTACCTACCAGGGAATCAGCCTATTTTTACTTGACATCAGTACCAATTATCAAGGAAAGGTATATTCAGACACAAATAAAACTTACAACTGATGCCGAATTTAGAAGTAATTTCAATAAAAACTGGATGTGGAAAAAATGAGTACCTGGGGCACAGTCATCGCAGGGTTTGGTCAGTGGAAAAGCTCCACTCCAAACCCCAGAGGAGCAAAGATGGAGGGAAGGGGAGTGTACGAGGCCGACCAGTCCCATCCATGGTGAGTCTGACGGCAGGGCCTGCCCACCGCCTCCCTGGGTGTCGCGACCCGTTGACCACGCTAAGTGTTCAGGAAAGCTGCTTAGACGCGACCCGTCTGCCTCTGTGCTGTTTATATGATCCACGGCGATCTACACGTGGACGTCAGCGGGAGGCGATGGCAGTCACTCGGGTGAGAGACGGCCTCGGTCTAGACAACCGTCGTGGTGGTGGGGACTGTACAGATCCCAGGAACAATCAGTGCGGAACTTGGAGGTAAATTACAGATGAGATGAAGGGACTGGGCGAGGGAGAGGGCACAGAGACGCGCTGGGGTCTGGGAGGACGGCGGGGACGGTGGCAGGGATGGTGGCAGGCATCGAGACAGTCCAAGCGGAGATGGCCTGCTCACAGGGGAGTATTCGGACCCAAAGCTTAGGAAGGAGACCTGTGCTGGAGGGACCGACGAGGGATGTGAGATGTTAAGTGCTGACTAGGGCGGTGAGAGGCAGTCGGGAGTTTGCATAAGATGTGACCACACGGGGCGGCCTGATCGCTCTCGAGGTACACCCCACCATTCAGTCTCTGCTCAGACTTTGGTAAGAGTCTCCTTCACACGCACTTACATTAATCTCTTGTCCAAGCTGAATATTACCTTTTTTTTTTTTTTTGGTGCTTAGAGCACACTAAACCAGCCCAGCAGGGAAGTTAGAATTCTGAGTTCTAAGTGGGAGATTTACCTTGAATGTATATTAGCAGGTATTCTCCGAAACTATGTGTCCCTATGCCCTAGGCTAAACGTGTAAGTGTGGTTGCAGTTACGGTGGCGATACAATTCACTTTGTAATGGATACAGTAATTAAATAATAAATGTAATACATAGTTCTGCTGAAAATAATTCTCTAGCATAGTTAGCATCATTAAAAAGCACAAATAGCTTAATAAAAGCATTTTAAGCAATTTAGCACTAGCAGAAGATTAGAAGGCTGTGAGAAACTAATTAGAAAGAACGTCACTCGAGGCTAAGGTGCCGCTAGCATCTGATCATCAGAAGGTTGAAGCCGACTAGAAGAGAAGCAGCTGTGGTTACCTGCGTGCGGAGCCTGGAGTGGAGCTTGTGATCCGACAGCCAAGGGTGCTTGAGAGCCTCACTCGCACTGATTCTCCAGCTAAAGGGAAAGGCAGGGGTTATTAGGGACCCAGCAAACGAGACCTTGGCTCTGACCACCGCCTTTGGGAGACCAGATGGCCTCATGTCAAGTTGCCAGGCAATTCTGTCTTCTGTAGAATTAGTATCAGGGACAGGTTACCCTCCAATCCCATTAGGGTAACACTATTGGTGAGACAAGCAAGAAACAATTCTGAAATCTTTCTGCCACCTGAACATCTTCCTTCAAATAGAAATAACCATTCTTGATGAGATGTCTGAGCTTCATAAATTGAACTTCTATCTTCCCAATCCAGGGATCGAACCTGTGTCTCCTGCTTAGCAGGCAGGTTCTTTACCACTGAGTCACCAGGGAAGCCTGATCTTCAATAAATATTCACCACATTGTATTTAAGCCTCTTTTAAAAACTACTCTTTTGAACTGCGGTGTTGGAGGAGACTCTTAAGAGTCCCTTGGACTTCAGCGAGATCCAGGCAGTCCATCCTAAAGGAGATCAGTCCTGGGTGTTCACTGGAAGGACTGATGCTGAAGCTGAAGCTCCAATACTTTGGCCACCTGATGTGAAGAACTGACTCATTGGAAAAGACCCTGATGCTGGGAAGGATTGAGGGCAGGAGGAGAAGGGGACGACAGAGGATGAGATGGCTGGATGGCGTCACCGACTCAATGGACGTGGGTTTGAGTGAACTCCAGGAGTTGGTGATGGACGGGGAGGCCTGGCGGGCTGCGGTCCATGTGGTGGTGGAGTCAGGCACGACTGAGCGACTGAACGGAACTAAAAACTGCTCGTCTCTTCTATTAGATCACAAGTCACCTAAAGGCAGGGACTGGACTTTATGCATTTGCCCTCAAAGCCCCAGATGCAATTCCTGGTGGATCAGGGACAGTGAAGTGCAAGGGAAGGAGCATCTGGGGTCTGCCCCGGACCCCACCCCACTGAACCGCCTGTCTATTGGTTCATGGTTGTGGTTATATAACTTAAAAGCTATAAGATAATAAAACAGTAAAGCAAGTATTGTTGGCTGTGAACATCTTAAATGACATCTATCATTGTATGTTTTATTATTTTTCTATTTTCTCTCATTATTTTTCCATCTTGGAGGTTTCTTGTTTTCCTTTTTTTGTCTTTTAAAACTTTCTTCTTTTTAAAATTATTTTTATTTATTTTTAATTTGTTTTCTTTTTTCTTTGTATTTTTCTTTTATGTTTTGGGGAGTTGTCTCTTAAAATTTTTGTTATTTAGTTTTATCTTTTGTCATTATATATTTTAGACAGAATCGTCTGAAAAGTATGTTTGACTGGCTCATCACAATCCTCCACCCCCTCCATGATTCTAAAATGTGAGCCCCTGTATTTCAGTATCAGTACTCTTCAACCACTGAATTCTGAATTATTAGCAAGACAGAAAGCAGGCCATTCATACATAACAGTCACGCGCATGGCCTTGTGTTGATTCTTGGTTCTGTCACTTAACCGGCCATATGATCTCGGAGTCTCATCAAAGAACAAAGACTGATAATGCCCTCCTCCCACGGAGCTGGGAAGGGGGTAAAGAGAACACGTCTGCAGAGCAGCGGGCAGGCCGGGCCCACAGCTGGCTCTCCCATGAAACAACCGTCAAGCATTCAGCGGCGTGGAGCCCCTAGCCCCACTCAAGCCCTGCGATCACAGCAATTCCAGGTCTTAGGAGGCTGGGTGGCGGGCATCAGAGTCACCTGTCTACAGCTCTGCAGGTGCATCAGAGGGACCACCGCGGGGGCTGCTGGTACTTCTCTGCCTGCGGTCCCCTCAGCCCCGGGGCACCGCCTCTGTTCCCCCTGCCTCCTCCTGAGCCCAGAGGGGACGTGGTCACCTCTTCTCCTTAATGAGAAGCTTGGAGATGAACTCCCGGGCCTCCTCTGAGACGTCCTGGAACTCTTGATCCTCCAGGTCCCACCTGCAGGCCAGGATGTTGTTCAGGGTCTCAGCATCGTCATCGCCCAGGAAGGGGGACAAGCCGCTGAGTCTGTAAGACACGGTGTCCAGGGTGAGAAGTCTTTAAACACCCTCAGACTCTGTAGAGACAGGTGCCTTCCTGGTCCTGTCATTTAAAACGGAGAGAAGGCAAATAACCAAGAACTGTGGCTCAGTGATAAAGAATCTGCCTGCCGTGCAGGAGTTACAGGGGATGTGGATTCAGTGCCTGGGTCGGGAAGATCCCCTGGAGGAGGGCACGGCAACCCACTGCAGTATCCTTGCCTGGAGAAACCCGGGGACCGAGGCGCCCAGCAGACAGTCCACGGGGTCGCAAAGAGCTGGACGCGAGTGAGCGACTCGCGAGCCTAATTTTATGTTTCTAAGCAGTGGTTGTGATGAAGGCACAGCTACCCTCAAACACGAATCTCACAGCATAACACAAACACCCTTTTAACGTATTGTACTGCAGAGCGCCATCACATCCTCGGATGGCAGACGCCAGGAATGACCCCCTGAACTGTGAGGCTGCTTTGTCACTCGGGATCAGGACAGAGGTTGGAGGTGTTTTTTAAGTTACTTTTAGAGCATAGGATGGTGTCCTAGGAATTCGGGTGATGAGTGAAGAAGACAGACTGTTACTTTTTCTGATGATATAAGGAAAGAATTTACTCCTTTACCCACCAGAGTCAGCAGAACACGGGAAGTACCTGAGTATGGGGCAGAGTTATTTATCTTTGAAAGATCTAACTTAGGGCTTTATTCAAAGTAGCAAATGGAATATGCACGGCAATTGAGAACAAATGACCAAGGGGCTGAGGGGTCTGCTTACAGCATGTAGGTGATGACGCCCACACTCCACATGTCAGTGGGGAAGGAGACAAAATCGTAGTTCACAACTTCAGGGGCGAGGAATTCAGGAGTTCCAAAGTTCACCTTCAGCTTCTCTCTGGGTTTGTACCTGAAGGTTAGGAGACAACACGGAGGAATGAAGAGGGCCTGTCAAAAATCAAAACTCGAGGAAACAGAAAGGATGCAGCCTATAAGCAAAGTAACTGCAGCCACACAGCACAGTCAGCATAAACAGCCGTGAAAGGAAATCGTGCATTACAGAGACACTGTCCGAAACTGGTAACGAAGCTTCCCACCAGAGAGCCTTAATAATCTGAAATGGCTGTGAGAAAAGCCACTCGGAATAATTAGAACACCTGAATTATGAAACATGACCGAAGGAGCCGTGATACAGACTGTGCCCTGTCGATGGCTTGAGCAAGTTTAATGAACAGAGAAGATGCAGCGGTTCACGACCGTCTGATATCACACTCAGGCACTGAGGTCCCTGTAAACTCTGTTTGCTTAAGGAGCTCATCTCTGCCCGAACCCTTGACAATCCTGCTCACACAATTCCTTTTTAAAGTAAGTCTTCACAAAAATAAATAAATAAATAAAGTGAATCTTCGCTTTACAGATGGACCAAATACAAAAGACTAAAACAAACTCTTACAAATTATGGATTACTGTCTTAAAATTTGATGACTGCACTATACTAGCTTTTAATATTCCATATTTTTCTTGCACGCACTGTAAGAAACTCCTAAACGTTCAAATACTGAAGCCAGCAAAGTAAAGCTGAAACATAATTTTGGTTAATTCTAAACAGGGATACAAAACCAAGGGGTATATCAGATTTATCTTTGCAAAGAAAGATCACCCATCATGTTCTCTAACTCAATTCATACACCTATGTCCAAGTTGACATACCTTCTGGCCAATCCAAAGTCAATAATTTTTATTTGTTTAGTGTCCCGATTCACACACAGGATGTTCTCAGGCTGCCAGGAGAAAGAGACACATTAGCAATGAAAACAACCATCCTTCACTCAAATTGTCCTTGAACCACAACTAAAAATACAACGATGCTCAGGAAAAACATATCAGGCCTTTCACTTTGGGGCGGGCTTGTCTGTGTGGGTCTTTCCCCTTTAATTATGTGGTGGGTGAGGTTGTGGGCCCCCGCCAAGCCTGCAGACCTTGCCTTCCCTCCCCCGCCGGCTCTGCAGTCGACGACCATGCCTGAGTTCAGGCCGAGGCCTCCTGCCTCAGGACTTTCCAAACGGCCTGGTGGAGGCCGTCTCAGACTTGACATCCACCCCCGAAAATTACTAAGTATGAATTTCCCTTTCTTGGAGGAATATTTTTCCCGAGGATTTATGAGTTCCAGGAGAAATGGCCTGCTTCATTCCACCAGCCGCGCTGAGCACGCACCCGAATATGAGCAGCCCTGACCCCCAGGCCCGCCTGCGCTCAGTCTATGGGAAAGTCATCTGTAAGCGGGGGACTCCTCCACCCCCGTCCATTCTTCATCCTCCGCAATGCCAGAGATTTGCTGAGTTTGGCCTCAGTGCCTAGAAGCCTTGACTAAGCCTTCCCTTGGAGTTTGCCTCTGGAAAGACTTGGCCCTGCCAATGGGATGGTCTTGGGGTGCAGAGAAGAGAGGGAGATAGAACTGCAACTCGGTATTTCTAGAACACCGGACAAGTGCACCTACCTTCGTTAGGATGGGAGACCCGAGGGGAGGGAAAGATAAGGGATCTGACTTAAAGTCAAGGTCATCCTTAAAAGAGAAATAGAGGTTTCAAAGAACTGCCTGAACTCTCAAGCTCTAACTAATCCCAAATCTTCCCTAAGCGCTAGGAGGGGGCATTAGCCGAGGTGCCAAGTGCCCAGGATTGCACATTCCACCCTTCACATGGGGTCATGGCTGCCCCCTACCCTGCCTGTCCAGATGGAGGAGAGGGTAGACTGAGATCAGAAACACAGCAACACTTGGCGAAACGAGCGAGTACCGGCTTGGCGGTGGTGGTTTAGTCACTGGGTTGTGTCCGACTCTTTGCTACCCCATGGACTGTAGCCTGCCGGGCTCCTCTGTCCCAAGCAAGAGAACTGGAGTGGGTTGCCACTTCCTGCTCTAGTAGTGTCTGCTTGTCAACATTCAATTGTCCATTTGGTTGGCCATAATGTCACTGGAAGCTTTTTTTATAAAATATCTGTAAAACAGATGTCTCTAGGCAAAGGCAATTTATAGAGAAGTGGGTGCTACACAAGAAGACGTGGCCCCGTGCTCACATAACTGATTGATTATGTATCAAGCTGTCCAGTTGCCAAAGAGCACCATGACACAAAAGAATTATTTGCAGAATATTAAAAAAAAAAACCAGCTCTGAGGGCACTTCAGAGTTAATTTTTTTTCTAATTATAAAATTAAAGCACATTCATTGAATAAGATTTACAAAACACAAAAAATCCAGGAAGAAGACCACTTTGAGTCAGCTATAATCTCCCCTACAGAGAGACAAGCCGTTGGTATTTTTGGCCCCCTCCTTCCAAGGAGCTTTCTGAAAGGGCGCCTGGGCCTTAATGACCCATCCAGCTGTCGCCTTTATTGCATCTTTACACGTGAGCCACAACTAAAACTGCCCATTGCAAGTCCTCAATCAACATTATGAAGCCGCATATGGAGCTGTTTGACTTACGACAGGGCAGGTCCTCGCTTCAGCTGCCAATCAAACCCCTGTAGGGATATTTGGAGAGTATCTACACTCAATGAAAATGCTCCGTGAAAGTATGCATCATCAAACTGGTCCATAACCATGGGCTCTGCTAATGACTGTTAACCTCTGGCTCTGTCATCCTATCGACCACTTCCCCCTGCCCTGTGGATGGGAGAGGCAAGCACGTAAATCAGGACGGTGAGAGGAGCCAAGTTACAGGAACGGAGGCCCATGGAAACCTCTTCAAGGAAGCTGAATTTATTTACCTCTGCAATCCCTGATGACTTGCAGTAGATGGTATGTTCTACAGAATGTATATTTTATCTCAGTGTCACACTGTGCAAACAGGGAAGTGAGGAAACGACGGAGCCACACAAGAAGATGCACTTGACGATATGAGAGCTGCTCAGAGTCATTGGGCCCCGTATTTCGCCGGTTGTAACTATGCACAGTCCCATTACAGGGACTTCATAATGGGAGAGAGAGCGAGCGGGAAAGGTCGTAAAATAAGAGGAGAAAGAGGGTGAGCTTCCCACTGTTTACAACAGGTTCGCACCGCTCCCAGGGTGGTGCCCAGCCCCACCCACCACCCTTCTGCCCCTCAGCCTCTCAGCACCTCCCCCTGGATCCCATTCTGCCATACCATTCTCCTCCCGACTCTAGCAGGCTCATAGAAAAATAATCCCTAAAGTCCAGAGCCTCCTGGAGGGTTTTAGAGGACTGCTGGGAATTCTGGAGAGTTGGGAAGTTTGACCACAACCAGGGAACTCTGAGTTAGATAAAATTCCTCCCACCTACTGAAACTGATAATGAGGGGATGCAACCAGGATGCAGCCAGGATGGGGGTGATGGTGATGGGGGTGATGGTGGAGGGGGTGATGGTGATGGGGGTAATGGTGATGGGGGTGATGGGGGTGATGGTGATGGGGGTGATGGTGGAGGGGGTGATGGTGATGGGGGTGATGGTGATGGTGGTGATGGTGACGGTGGTGATGGTGGAGGGGGTGATGGTGATGGGGGTGATGGTGATGGGGTGATGGTGATGGGGGTGATGGTGATGGGGGTGATGGTGGAGGGGGTGATGGTGATGGTGGTGATGGTGGAGGGGGTGATGGTGATGGGGGTGATGGTGGATGGGGGGTGTGATGGTGGAGGGGGTGATGGTGATGGGGGTGATGGTGATGGGGGTGATGGTGGAGGGGGTGATGGTGATGGGGGTGATGGTGGAGGGGGTGATGGTGATGGGGGTGATGGTGATGGGGGGTGTGATGGTGGATGGGGGGTGTGATGGTGGAGGGGGTGATGGTGATGGGGGTGATGGTGATGGGGGTGATGGTGATGGTGGTGATGGTGGAGGGGGTGATGGTGATGGGGGTGATGGTGATGGGGTGATGGTGATGGGGGTGATGGTGATGGGGTGATGGTGATGGGGGTGATGGTGATGGGGTGATGGTGATGGGGTGATGGTGATGGGGGTGATGGTGATGGGGTGATGGTGATGGGGGTGATGGTGGAGGGGGTGATGGTGATGGGGGTGATGGTGATGGGGGTGATGGTGATGGGGGTGATGGTGATGGGGTGATGGTGATGGGGGTGATGGTGATGGGGGTGATGGTGGAGGGGGTGATGGTGATGGGGGTGATGGTGATGGGGGTGATGGTGATGGGGTGATGGTGATGGGGGTGATGGTGATGGGGGTGATGGTGGATGGGGGGTGTGATGGTGGAGGGGGTGATGGTGATGGGGGTGATGGTGATGGGGTGATGGTGATGGGGTGATGGTGGAGGGGGTGATGGTGATGGGGGTGATGGTGATGGGGTGATGGTGATGGGGGTGATGGTGATGGGGTGATGGTGATGGGGGTGATGGTGATGGGGTGATGGTGGAGGGGGTGATGGTGATGGGGTGATGGTGATGGGGGTGATGGTGGAGGGGGTGATGGTGATGGGGGTGATGGTGATGGGGGTGATGGTGATGGGGGTGATGGTGATGGGGTGATGGTGATGGGGGTGATGGTGATGGGGGTGATGGTGATGGGGGTGATGGTGATGGGGTGATGGTGGAGGGGGTGATGGTGATGGGGGTGATGGTGATGGGGGTGATGGTGATGGGGTGATGGTGATGGGGGTGATGGTGATGGGGTGATGGTGGAGGGGGTGATGGTGATGGGGGTGATGGTGGAGGGGGTGATGGTGATGGGGGTGATGGTGATGGGGTGATGGTGATGGGGGTGATGGTGATGGGGTGATGGTGATGGGGGTGATGGTGATGGGGTGATGGTGATGGGGGTGATGGTGATGGGGGTGATGGTGATGGGGGTGATGGTGATGGGGTGATGGTGGAGGGGGTGATGGTGATGGGGGTGATGGTGATGGGGGTGATGGTGATGGGGTGATGGTGATGGGGGTGATGGTGATGGGGTGATGGTGGAGGGGGTGATGGTGATGGGGTGATGGTGATGGGGTGATGGTGATGGGGGTGATGGTGGAAACCAGCTCCCTGTGAGTGAGTTCCTTTAACATAAGCAGCTTAGAGGAAGACTCTGAGCAGCAGGGCCTAAGGTCGGAGGCAAGCATGTCTTCATTGAGATCAGGGAGATGAAGCTAAGAGTCCAGAGTTTTCAAACTCCTGAATACGTACCCAGCGACAGGCTCTGTCTCCCAAGCCGGCATCCTGTACTCGCGGGGCCCACGGACCCACCTGAGGGAAAGGCTCGCGTCCCCTGTGAGGAAGAGCGCAGCCTACCTTCAGGTCCAAGTGCAGGATGTACATCTGGTGCATGTGTCTTATCCCCTCGCATATCTGCCTGATGAACAGGATGGTGTCGAACTCCGTCAGGCTGCAGTTGTCGTCGATGATGCGGTCGAAGAGCTCGCCTCCGTCCACGCTGCGGGGGAGGGGGCGAGTCCCCAGTCAGCACCCTCGACAGGCATCTGCTCTCTGCGTCTGAGTGCTGCTGACCTGCCCACGGGATGCATCTGCAGCTGCGTCTCTCTACCTTCCCGATAAGATGCCTCTGACGGTGATGGCCGTCGCTGGAGCCACCACCACTTGCTCAAATGGAAAGTCTCAAAGCCCCTCCCTTGCAGGGGCTGCGGCTCTGGGGTGGGTCTGTCCATCTCTAAGGGTGGGTCTGCCCACCTCTGCCATCTCCCAAGGAGCATGGAGGCCCAAGAGGACGCTAGGAAGGCAGGGATGGAGGGAATTCCAAACTCCTCGGGAAGGTTAGGCTGATTTCAGCAATAAAGTGCTTATGTGGAGCTCATGCTGGATGTTTTAATATCCGAAATTCCTATCACACAATGACAAGCAAAACCCGAAATGGGGGCTGGGGGTGGGGAGGTGAAATGAGTCACAAGCACAGATTCAGTGTTGGTAGAATGACTCACTTTCTAACTAAACACTCAATTTTTTATAAAGGTGATTTTATTTCATTTTTTATAATTTTTTTTCAAGTTTTTTTTTTTTTTATGTGGACCATTTTTAACGTCTTTAATGAATTTGTTACAACACTGCTTCTGTTTTATGTTTATGTTTAGCTGCCAGACCAGGGATTGAACCCGAAGCTCTTGTGTGGTGACGGGACGTCTTAACCACTGGACCACGAGGGCAGGCCCTAGAAAGGTGATGTTAAACAGAAGCCTCTTAGCTCTACTTGTAAGAGTCTGGCACGAGTTTTGTTTTCGCCATCAGGTCACAAGTAGGACACAGTTCAAGGCTCACTCCTCCAGGGTGTCCAGAGCAAGAGTTAAGCTGGGGCCTCGACAGCTCAGCTCATATTTGAAGCTAAATCTGTGTGGCCATCCTGCTGCTTAGCAACAGAATCGCACGCGGAGACCCTTGCCTGAGTGATTTCCCTCCCGCGGCAGATGCAGTTCTGACACATGCGAGTCAGAACCCAGGGTCCAGCGGGGCCCAGCAGCCGGAGGCAGGACAGGGCGGCGTGCCGAGGGCCCGGGTGTGTGAGCAGGGTGGGGAGGGGTGGGGACGCACTACTCCATGACCAGGATGATGTCGTTCTTAGACTCGAAGGCGTCGTAGAGCTGGATGAGGTTCACGTGGTCCAGCTGGTTCATGACGCTGATCTCGTTCCTCACGTCGTCCTAGCGGAGGGAGGGCTGGTTCAGTGCTGGGCGGCGGCAGCCCGCGGCGTCCACCGCGCGGCCCTTACCTTGTCCTTCACGCCCCTGGTCTTGATGATCTTGGCCGCCAGCTTCAGGCCCGTGGCCTTCTCCTCACACTTGTGAACTTGGCCGAAGCGCCCGCTGCGGGAGAAGAAGACGTGGCCCCGGTGAGGCTCTGTCTCCACCTGGTGGAAGCTGAGGCTTTCCAGCACCCCTCTCTGACTTGAGTGAGCAAGCCTGACGTGCCCCTACCGTTGCCAAATCTCCTAGAACAGGTCAACTTCTGGCCTCAGGGTCACCTGGGCCCTCCTGAAGCAGGAAGCCTGGGGAAGGCCCCAGAAGCTGCACTTTCACAACATCCCTTGGGTGGTTCTCATGCACCCTAACATTTGAGGGCTTCTATTGTACAGAAAATAGAATCTTTCTGAATGCATGTGAATATAACAAGCTAGGTTCTCTAAGCATAAGAATGATACAGGCTGTTGGTCGGGGAAATCAGATTATTTTTGGAAACTGCATATAAATAAATAAGAAGTAATCACAAAATTGCATATAGACACATTTAATCAAAGCAGACACTACACACTTTAGCTTTGATATCAATTTAAATGCACTTCATAAGGCAGCTTCTTACAAACGTCACCACCTCCCCAAATACACACTCATGAGCAGTCTTCCCATTTGACTTGCTTGCTGTGATTCCTGACTCAGTGTAATGGCCGGGGAGCTGGGGAAGGTCACCCCAGCCCACCCCACTCAGCCACACTCCCTGCACAGAAGCAGATGCATCCTGGGGCGGGGGTGGGGGTGACATTACCGAAAGCAACGCCAAGTGTGACCTCAATCCCACCCACTGTTCCAGACGTGCTCTCTCTCCTGGAGCCCATGAACACAGCCCCAGGCGCTTCAGATGTGGCTGCTCATTAAGAACGGGCTTTTCCCCTTAATTAGCAATGGCCCCCGGATCGGCCTGGCCCAGCCGTGGTGCCACGTCCGTCACTGCTCAGCTTCAGCGCCTCCGTCCGCCCCTCTGGCAGGCTTCACCCTGCAAGGCCTGGGGCGGGAGGTGGCCTCACAGGGTCCCTGCTGGCCCGCCAGGCTGATAACCTCATGCTAGGAATAACTGACCATGGTGAGCAGCAACTCTAATCACCCCACAGACCACAGGTGGGGAGAGCACCCCGGGAAAATGGAGGGGCCTGCCGCGGCATGCGGGGCCCCGGCGTCCCGGCCCCGGGCTGTGGCTCCGCTGACAATGCAGGACAAGAGGCTGCATCTCGACTCGCCCCTGACTGAGAGGAGGTCCCCGCTGATGAGGTCAGCATGCCCAGCTAACTGCCCCGCTAATTCCTCACTGAGCCCGGGACGGGGCAATGGGTGGCTGGAAGCGTGGCCCAAAGGGGCAGGAAGGAGACTCTGAGAGTCACCGAGAGACCTCAACCAGAAATACACACAAACCCTGGCGTTGCTCCAAAGCCGCTTCTGCAAATAACTTTTCTCCTTTAGAGAGACAGGGGCTGGCTTGCCACCCCCATCCCTCGAGACCCTGATAAGCTAATGCTTGCCGTGAAACTAGGGGGCCTCAGGCACCACTACCTGCTCCGAAAGCCCCGTCCCCCTCAACCATCCTCACAGGCCAGGGGGCCTCTTTGCCAGCCAAGAAGGAGAAAGTTCGGGTGTGTCCCGTGACAGATGGCAAAGGAGCCGTGGGATGGGAAAAGCCAGGAGGGGCTTTGCAGAGTCAGCCGCACCCCTGACCACAGACAGAAACACCTGTGCTAAGAGCCACACGTGCTTTCCCCACATTGTAAGTAAATTTCTATGTGTTGAATACATGTACAATCTTCCTGCTTTCCGCCTCTTACTCTACATAGATTGCTGGTGGGAGTCAACTTAATACTGGAAGTCACAAGACCTCACGGGGGGTCGTGGCTGAGGTAGGAGAGGAAGGACCCTCCTTCCTGATGGACTCGCCTCCTTCAGGGAGGGAGTATGTGTGGATGTCCTACCAGCAAGCCCTTCAGGGAGGCACATCACCAACTGAAATGAATGGTGGTATCAGTGCAAATGGAAAACCAATGATGATAAAAAAATATATTTAATGTGTGCCATGAGATAAACAGCCTTCACGCATTTCTACATTTTGCTCCTCAGCGTTCAAGCTTCTAAACCTCCTGGAGACTCACTCACACCTCTTTCCTCTCACTCCAGACAGGATGACACGGAAAGTGAAGCAGATGAAATGCGGAGGGTAGTCACCTCATCAACATTTCTGGCATCAGCGACAATTTTCAGAAATGGTTAAAATCACTTAAAATAACTGTATATGATGTTTCTGGTTCTCTGGTTGAGACTGACAAACATCTCTGAAATCTTTAAGATCCATCTCTGTTTGTAGCAGCACTATTCACAATAGCCAAGGCGTGGAAGCCAGCTGAGTGTCCACCAATAGATGGGGGATGAGGAATGTGTGGGATATATATTCAGTTCAGTTCAGTAACTCAGTCGTATCTGACTCTTTCCATCCTCATGGACTGCAGCACGCCAGGCCTCCCTGTCCATCACCAACTCCCGGAGCTTGCTCAAACTCATGTCCATCAAGTTGGTGATGCCATCCATCTGCCATGAAGTGTTGGCTTAAAGCTCAACATTCAGAAAACTAAGATTATGGCATCCACTCCTTGGAAGGAAAGTTATGACCAAACTAGACAGCATATTAAAAAGCAGAGACATTACTTTGTCAACCAAGGTCCAACTAGTCAAGGCTATGGTTTTTCCAGTGGTCATGTATGGATGTAGAGTTGGACTATAAAGAAAGTTGAGCACCAAAGAATTGATGCTTTTGAACTGTGGGGTTGGAGAAGACTCTTGAGAGTCCCTTGGATTTCAAGGAGATCCAACCAGTCCATCCTAAAGGAGATCAGTCCTGGGAGTTCATTGGTAGGACTGATGTTGAAGCTGAAACTCCAATATTTTGGCCACCTGATGCAAAGAGCTGACTCATTTGAAGTGACCCTGATGTTGGGTAAGATTGAAGGCAGGAGGAGAAGGGGACAACAGAGGATTAGATGGTTGGATAGCATTACCAACTCAGTGGACACGAGTTTGGGTAAACTCTGGGAGTTGGTGATGGACAGGGAGGCCTGGTGTGTTGCAGTTCATGGGGTCACAAAGAGTCGGACACAACTGAGCAACTGAACTGAACTGAACTGAACTGATGGGACTGGAAGCCATGATCTTTGTTTTCTGAATGTAGAGCTTTAAGCCAACTTTTTCACTCTCCTCTTTCACTTTCATCAAGAGGCTCTTTAGTTCTTCAATTTCTGCCATAAGGGTGGTGTCATCTGCATATCTGAGGTTATTGATATTTCTCTCAGCAGTCTTGATTGCAGCTTATATATATTACTCAGTCATAAAAAGAAGGAAATAATGCCATTTGCAGCAACATGGATAGACCTAGAGATTATCATGCTAAGTGAACTAAGTCAGACAGAGAAATCAAACAGCATGATATCACTTATATATGATGTCTAAAAATATGATACTTTTAACTTATTTACAAAGCAGAAACAGACTCACACACCTAGAAAAGAAACTTACAGTTACCAAAGGGGAAAGGTGGGTGGTGTGGTTCTAAATTAGGAGTTCAGGGTTAACCTATAAACATCACTATATATAAAATAGATAACCAACAAGGACCTATTGTATAGCACATGGAACTCTACTCAATATTCTATAGTAACCTGCAATGGAGAAGAATCTGAAAAAGAATAGATATATATAGATGTAATTGAACCACTTTTCTGTACACCCAAAACTAACACAACATTATAAATTAACTATACTCCAATATAAATTTAAAAATATGAAAACTCAGTACAAAAACCAAAAAAAGTAAAATTAAAAAGATAAAACACGTAAAAATTTTTAAAAAGACCTGTGTCTTTGAAAGCAGTCTTTCTTCCTTGTCAAGAGAGTGCTGAAGAGGCGTGTCACTCACCCTCCTAAGATCTCGGTCCTGCTCACGGTGTAGAAGCTGTTGACCGCGGCCTGCCTGGCCGTCACGATGCGGTGGTCAAAGGGCGCGGGCGGTGCCGGGGCGTCGGCTGGGAGGCGAGAGGAGAAGGCTGGTAAGAAGCAGCCCATGTGCCAACGTGCTCGTTTAGAAGCAAAATGCAAGCGGCCCCCTGGATTTCGAAAGACCCGGGAAATAGATCTTCATTTCATATGGTGATTTGTGGATCATGAAGGTGACACCTGACACTTTTGAGAAAGGTTGTCAGGACCTTGGTCCCCACCTTCTTCGGGGCAGCGTTCAGAAACAACGAAATAATCAAAGATCTCCATATAATGCCCAAACAGGTAATGCTTCCAGGTCTGAGTCATTTACACTCAAATCCCTGACACTGTTTGACCCATTTTTTCAAAAGCACAATTGATAAAGTCCACAATTTTAATTAGAGAGAAAAAAAAATGAAAAATTTCTTCCGTCATTGAAAGGTTTGATATTACTAAACATGACTTTCCAAAATATTTTAGCCTTTATTTAAGACACATTTAAAGCTTAAAGGGGCTTCCCTGGTGTCTCAGTTGGTAAAGAGTCCACCTGTAATGCAGGAGACCTGGGTTCGATCCCTGGGTTTTGAAGATCCCCTGGAGAAGGGAAAGTCTACCCACTCCAGTATTCTTGAGGAGCCTGATGGGCTGCAGTCCACAGGGTCGCAAAGAGTCAGACACAACTGAGCGACTAAGCACAAAGCTTAAAGATGAATTTTTCCCGACTAGAAACAAAACACCCAGTAACACTGGCTCGGAGTATATTCTCCAGCTCGCAAATTTCTCCCACTTTCATGTTCCAGCCTGAGTGTTTAACCTCCAGTCTACAGCAGGATCTGTTCTAAAACACATTGTTGTTTAGTCGCTAAGTCATGTCCAACTCTTTGTGACCCCATGGGTTGTAGACTGCCAGGCCCCTCTGTCCGTAGGATTTCCCAGGCAAGAATACTGGCGTGGGCTGCTATCTCCCCCTCCAGGGATCTTCCCAACCCAGGGGTCAAACTGGTGTCTCCTGCATCGGCTGGAATGTTCTTTACCACTGCGCCAGCTTGGAAGGCCCTAAAATACATAGCTACTCACTAACATTCTTCCAGCATGCTTTTCACTTTTCCAGAGTTACTATAAAACTTTTCTTGCATGAACATATTCATTTCTCCATTTATTCATTATTTAATCACCTACCAAATGCAGCTTCTTACGTGTCCAAAGGGTACAGAGGGAAGTGAGCCGATGATATTTTTGCTTTTAGAAATTCGCATTTATTCAAAATGTAATCCTTAAACACTTATCTTGTGCTAGGCACTCTGTCAAGAGTACATATTTTTTAATATTCAGATAATGATATTAATCTCTGGGCATCTGATCTGACAAGGATATTCTCCTCTCACACCATAAATATGCTGAAAAATGAAGAAGCTAGGACAGATTCCTCATGGTGGCACTTGTCTCTTCACTGCCCCCAAAAACAGTGATGGAGTTACAAACACAAATGGTATCGTTATGTTGTAAGGTCTCCTGCAGGACATTAGTCTAAGTGAAATTTAGTCAGAAATGCTTGCTGGACAAGGTTAAGATGCTTTAAAGGGCTGGAACCAAAGCCGTTTCCTACCCAGGGGGGTCTCCAGAGCTTGCTGCCTGGGGGCCTCTGCTCCAGAGGGCTCGGGGGCTCTGTCTTGCAGGGAGTCCCCAGCGCGACTGGCTTGTGGTCTGCTCCGAGTGTCCCCGGCTCCTTTACCCGCTGCATCTATCTTGCTCTTCTTGTTCTCCTCCTGGACCAAGCTCTCCTCGCCGCCTCTCCTCTTCCCGCCTCCCGAGGCCTCTGTTGGATCAGCTTTCTGCAAGATGGGTCTTGTCCCTGCCTTTCCCACGGCTCGTGACGGGGGCGCGGCTTTTACGGAGCTGACACGCCTGGAAAATAGAATCCAGCCACAGCTCTCAGCATTCCCAAGGGAAAACTCTCAAATGGTCACATTTCTGAGCAGGAAAGCTTCCTCGCGACGATGCTTCGCTGATGGGACGTAAGCTTCGAGACAGGGAGCTGGCGACGTCAGAGTTTGGGGTGAGATGGAGATGGGTGCACCCCGTCATCCCAAGCAGCTGGAGATAGCCCACATCCTAGAGACGCTCCCTGATGACCTCATGGCGACCCCGAGTTAGTCCACTGACCCTTTTCAACAGCAGTCATTTTATGACTCCCTAACTAATTTGGTCTTCATTTTTCACTTTCTTCCTTAAAGAAGAGGGAAACCACTGCATTAAAGCACACTAAAAAAAGAAAAGCAATGGCCTCTGAATAGGACCAGCAGTGAGAGGAGCCTCTCCTGGTGAAAGAGCTGAACTAATGTCCACTTTCCGACACCTCCAGACTCTACTAAACCCATCTCTTCAGTAATGGACTTCCTTCATAAATATTAGCATTTACATTTAACTCTTGAAAAATTAGACTTCTTTATAAATAGCTTCCAAAATACATTGTTCAAAAAGGAAATAAGAATTATATCTGCAATCCTTAAAAAACACCACAGAATGGTTAGATCTGGGTGCTCTTTGTTTCAAGTAGATTCTTGGTTCATCACAACATAGATTCATTCATTTTAATTGGCTGTGTAATTGCCTGAATTTCTATGTGAAACTTCGCAGATGAGGAAGAAGCATTAAATAACCTACTTCGCACTCAGTCCTCACAATACTTGTGAAGCAGCTAATGTACCATTTGATCAATCTGGTCAATGCTCTGTTAGGAAGGATGTGCTCTATATTGCTAAAAATAAGAAACGTTTACTTGATGTTTAGAAAATACAAAATGTGATTGCCAGTAATCACCATATCTGTCTATCATTTGGCAGGAGACATAGAAAGTGATAAGTTGCCTGAAAATGTCACAGCAAGAAGAAAAAATAATGGCAAGAAAAATCCACGCCACTGTGGAAGTGGCTTCTAAACTGTCATTGAAGAGTCCCTTCAGTTATCCTTCAGTATGGCCTTAGATTACAATGGCACCTAGATCTACAGAAAATGGCGGTTGTGGATGCAAACACTGTAAACCCTACCTTTCGTGGAGTTGACCACCATTTGTTCTATCAACACACTGCTCTTTATTTGAACTCCTGTCCAGCCCTGTTCTATGTGGAATCTCGCATCCTCCATCCTCTTTAGATCCTCCATCACCAGGCTCTCCCTTAACACGAAGACCCTTTTCCTCCCCTTCGAACACCAGACTTCCACTTTTATCCGCAGAGCCTCGCTCAGCCCCAGAGCTGCGAGCTTCCTGTCGGCTCAGGCTCCCTGGGCATGAAGTGCCTCTTCTGTCCTCACTCTCTCTCGGCTCTGTGGAATTTCTGAGGGCAGAATCTCCCGGTTCATCACGGGGTCTTTCTGTCTGAAATGCGGCGGAACTTCTCTGAGCTAGAGACGCAGGGGTCTTCTCGGCCTGCTTCTCGTCAAGCTTGTTAAACGTTTCTTCCTCAGAGGAGGGCAGGTTCTTCTGGGAAGATCTCTCTAAAAGCCACCATAGGACACAAAATATTTTAATGAAGGTCGCACGTGACCGGTGTCATTCTGGCCTCACAGGATGGCACCTTTATTCAGGCTTCTCTTTGTCAGCAGATATGAGCTTTGGAAAGAAAAGCAGGAGAGCATGTGGCCAATGGCCTGGGGGCTGGGCCTCCAAAGATTCTCTGGTTTGCAGCTAGGAGAACCCAAAGCCGATCAGATAAAGGCATTCAAGCAGCACTTGACCCAACACAGGGCTTCACGAAAGTGCGACTTCCTCTGGGTAAGAACAACGACGACAGGACTTGCGTAACAGCGCTCTCTTCATTCATCAACGCCTGATCTAACGGAAGGATTACCTGCGGGGGCTGCTGTCCTGTCGTCGGTGGCAGGTGCTGAGTCCTCCAGGCCAGGGAGTGACCACACGTGCTCCTTAGCCTGTGGGGACACGATGGAGTAATCAGCAACGTGAATGACACGTCAGAGCAGGCTCTGTTGACCACAGGACTCCTGATGCTTTTTATTTTATTTTTTATTATGGGGAATGTCTCTAGAATTACAGGATGTTTGCCAGCATCTCTGGCATCTGCCCACCAGATGTCTACAGTACCCCCAGGTGAAATATCCAAAATCAATGCCTCCAGAAATTGCTAAATGTCTCTGGTAGACAAATTCACCCCAGATTGAGAACCACTACATTACACAATTCAAGCACAGACAAAAATACCAAAAATAAATAACAATTTAGAGGGCAGAACAGTCTGAATTGATGAAGCCCTGTAGCAACTAGAGTATTTGAAAGTGAATGAACTATTTTAAAAGAAGTTTTATAAAACTCTGGCATTGTTTGTAGAAGAAGGCTCATCTTCTTGGATAGATTAAGGGATATTGACAATGTGTATGTTACCCTTGACCTTTGTTTATTCTGTCTTGCTATTGTTCACGTATAAATCAAATAAAAATCAGAGGCTATATGTGAATGGGTTTTGCAAATCAGAAAGTAGAAGACTACAGTAAGCTTTCATAAAAGAGGCTTCTATACCACTTAGAACAGATGGCCCCTTTCTAAGGAGATGAGCATTCTTCTTGCAGTGCTTTCTCTGAATTAGTTTACAAACCCTTTTTAAATACCACATAAAAGGTAAACATTAGCCCAATCCATCCAAATTATCACAAGTTCTGAAGTTATGCATTATAAATTAATGAAATTCTATGGATGTTCAAAGAATCAGTCTTTTTTTTCTTTACTTCGGAAAGAGCAAAATTTGCCTGTGGGTGACTTGCAGGCATGAAACACTATGTAAGTGCAGGTCATGGATATCAAGACAAATTATAAGTGTGCTTTTAAACAACCCAAGAGGCAGTCCAATAGGTTCAGAGCATTTTCATTTTTCAGATAAAGACCTTCAAACACAGAGGCATGTTTAGTAAATCCTGTGGAAAACCAAAATTAGAGATTAGAGCCTGGTAGTCTGGAATTTTCTCTCTTTTAGTGAAAGCCAGGCCCACGTCCTTCAGCTTCCCCTTATGTACAAGCACAGTGGTCAGCACATCCCCCACCCCAAAAAGCACGCAACGCTTTCTCCATGTTTTCATCATCAGCTTCCCACTAGACTGTAGGGCTCGAGTGGGCAAAAAGACAGATTCATCTTTGAATCCCTGGCATTTACTCAGGGATATAATGTTGGTGGAGGTGATGATGGTGATGGTGGTGATGATAATGCTGTGGCTGCTAAAGATGATGGTGATGATGGCTGTGGCTAGTATATACTAAGTACTGACTACATACCAGGCATGTTTCTAAGCCCATTACATCATTAATTTCTGGTTCCTCATAGCAACACTTTGAGATAGATACTACTAACTCCATTTTATAATACAGCCGGATAATTTCACAGGGTTATATAATTCAGAAATGGCATAAACAGGATTTTAAGTCATAACTACAGCTGGTACTGTCACTCTGAAAAAAGAAGTAGATTATAGGCAAGGTATATCATCGATATTGATGGAATATCTACCAATACAGCCAGCACCACAGGAACCAAGATGAAAGGTTACAAGAAAATGCCATCAAATAGAAACAAGTAAAGAAATAAATATTCATTGGTCAGAAGATCAGAATTAACATGGAAGGAGAGAAAGAGAATTTCATTCAGGTTTTGAAAATGAGTCAGATAAGGTAGTTTAACAAATTGAGATATTTGATAGCTTTGTCTTTCACTGCCTCTCTTTTGCAGTGAAAACCCCTGGTGGGCAGGTGTTGTTCTTCTGGATTTATACTGGATGGCATGAATGTGATGGTAAAAGCACTGGTGAACTTAGGAAAGAAAACTGGTGTGTGTCAGTGGATTTCAGTCTATCAAAATATGCAAACTGGATAATGTGGCGTGCTGGCCCCAGCTGCTGCCTCCAGGGACATCTCCATGTCGGTGGTGGGTGCCCCCAGGACACGCTAGGTGCTAGGTATGATTTGACCAACAGGAGAACTACTGATTCTGAGGAAGGTCAGAATCCAGTTTCCCAGCGAGGCTCTGTCCTTCCCCTTCAGCTGTGTATCAGGTTCGCTCTACCCTTGAACAATGTAAGGTCTTCCCGCCTTGCCACAGGCTGTTTCCCTGTGTCACAGTGACATCTAGAGGAGCCTGGACCCGGCGAGCTCCAAACACGCGGCAGCTGCAGTTCTCCTTGCTGTTTGAGCAGAAACTTCAGGGTGAAGCTTCGACTCCGTGCACCGTCCTCACCCGGGCACAGACCTTTCCCCGCACTCCGCTCCGCAGCACCGCACGAAGGGCCTGCTGAGCCCACGTGCAAGAAGGAATACGTGATTACCAGACTCTGATGGCAGGGCAGGAACGGCCCGTCAGGCTGCACCACTGAAATCGGGCTCCCCGAGCGCCGCTGACAGTCTGCATCCCTGAGCTGAAGTTACGGGATCGCCGAAGCTCTGTGTGGGGGGATTATAGCTGCCTCAGAAAACTGTTTTCTTAACATCTCAATGGGACACGACCAAACTAACTGCCTATACGCTAAGCTGAGGGCACACTACTGTTATTGAGGTGCCAATTGTGAACACTCTGGGTAACTTTAGCCTAATGCCTTAGAAATACAAAAGCAAAATTATAAAAGCTGTAATGTTACATTGTTAAACTTTGGTTAGGCGCCTCACAGGGGAGAGACAAAAACAGAGCCTAAAAGAAGACAAAGGAAAGAATTTTCAGAAGAAATATTAAAACTGTGTCTCCTCGCCTGCTCCTGGAAGATGACTGTAGAAATCATTTGTAAGAGAAATCTGGCCCTCTTCATCTTCGGCGCACATGCAAACTCCTTGGGCCTTAAGGGAGAAAACTTCCTACAGTCCCCGGTAGATACGACCCGCTGAGCAATGTGCCGGGCCTGGCAGGACAGGATAGGACCGAACCTGGGAGGGAAGTGCCGACCTGGACCTCAGAGTTAGTGGGCAGACACACCCTGGGCTGCAGAAAACGTCAGGGGCAGTCAGACGGCCACACGAGAAGACGACCCTGCCAAGAAGACCGACGCCTCTTGGTGAGTCCACCAAGGAAAGAAGGCTGCTCCCAGGTGTGCGTCAGGAGAGAGGCCAGAATCAACGGTGTTGGCTCGGGAAAGCCTAATGGGAGCCTCTGTCAAGGGCAGAGACCTGGGTGATTTTACTCTCATTTGATTACAAGATGAATCAGCAGTTTTGTAAAAAGGCAGCACACTGCCCGGCTCACTGCCCCTCCAGCGAGAGGTGCGTGGGACCAGCCCTGCTCAGATGCGCTCCCCGACCACTCCTCACGGACTAAGACTTGACTTACACTACACACTTTCAAGTTTGGTTTGGGCTTCCCAGGTAGTTCAAGTGGTAAAGAGTCCACCTGCCAATGCAGGAGCCGCAGGAGATTCGGGTCCAATTTCTGGGTTGGGAAGATCCCCGGGAGAAGGAAATGACATCCCACTCCAGTGTTCTTACCTGGGAAATCCCATGAGCCTGGTGGTCTACAGTCCATGGGGTCTCAAAGAGTTGGACACGACTGAAACCAACTGGGCATGCACGCAAGTTTTCTCATCCCCAAAACCCCTGCTATAACTGAGTGACCAAGAGGGTCCTCAACAGGGGTGTGAAGACCCAAGGTTTTGGGAGAGGCCGACCCTTGGTCTGCCCTTCCTCCTTGGGGGCCAGGTTGTGGACCAGAGACACAAATATTGAAAATACACCCTGTCTTTCACTCTCCTCTCCAGCCTGCCGTTGTCGATTTAAAAGAACAGGTTAGAACTAATTGGGAGCAAATTAAGACCTGTCTCCTAAAGATCTGGGCTGGCTGAGTGGTAAAGAATTCTCTTGCAATGTAGATGTGGGTTCAATCCCTGGTCCAGAAGATCCCCTGGAGAGGAAATGGCAACCCACTCCAGCATTCTTGCCTAGAGAATCCCATGCACAGAGAAGCCTGGTGAACTACAGTCCATGGGGTCACCAAGGGTCAGACAGGACTGAGCGACTAAACATCAACCACCTAAGATCCAGGCACATGGGGCGTGTTGATCATACAGACTTCACTTTCCCTCCTATTGCCGATGGACGCGCTCCCCTCAGACATCTGAAAGAGGTTCATATTGCCTTATTTCCTTCCCTCCACCACCTCTCCTGCCTTTCCCAAACAGAAAACGCTGGGCCCTCTGCCCCTAACTGCTGCCCTTCCCCAGGAGCCGCCAACGAGGCTCTGCCTGGCCGCCCTCCTGCCGCCCTCTCCCTTCTCACCTGCCCGGATCCTCCTTTGCTCTGACCTGGTTCTCCTTGACCACCCGGCCGGGGGTTTGAAAACCATCAGTGCCTGGGTCCTGCCCCCCAGAGCGCCTCATAAAATTACAGGAGTGGGCTGGAGACTGACATTTTGACCCCCACCCGCACCCCATGGACTGTAAGAACTAGGCTAGAGACTGAATTTTGACCCCACCCGCAACCCATGGACTGTAAGAGCCGCCAGGTTTGGGAGCTGGGGCTCTGCCAGCTCCGGCCCCATCCCTCTGGCTTTTGGAGGCTTTTTTGGTTCCTCACCACCCAGGCGGCCCCACCGCAGCGTGAACGAGAGTGAGACACTGCGGAGGCCGCACTCCTCAGCCCTGCTGCCTCCCTCCCTCCATCAAGGGTCTTCGATCTTCCCCAGGATGGATTATCTAGCAAACCGCTGCCTCTGCCTCACCGGCCACCAGGGACACACGAGGAAATGAGTCCAGGGGTGCTTGCCCAGCAGACCGCAGACCCCTCTCCAAGATGATCTTGCGGGGGATCTGGAGAGGGGGGAGCCGAGGAAAAGCCCACATTCCCACCCACACCCCTGGTTCTCCCCTGAAATCTTCGCCTTGCTTCCTGGTCAAAATGAGGCCATCGCAAGGGATTGGATTCCTCCACCCAAATGCGGGAGAGCAGAGGAGGG